CTCTCTCTCTCTCTCTCTCTCTCTCTCTCTCTCTCCCTCCCTCTCTCTTTCTCTCTCTCTCTCTCTTTTTCTTTCTCGCTCGCGACATTGTCGTTTTCTACGCGCGCGACGATTGTTTTTCTGAAAACAAAGCTTTTTCCAAGGAAATCTACTAAATGCATAGTTATATATACATCTGGAACATCTGGTGAAATAAAACATTTTTCATGAAGTAACATGTCCACATATGTATGTGTATAGGTATATACACATAGTACATATATGCGGAGGAATGGTGTCGTCACGTCGATTGACGAAAAAGAATGGACAGAAAGAATAGAAGAGGGGACAGGGAGGGGACGGGAATATTTGGACGAACTCAAAAATTCCATCAATCTCTCATTCTCGGTCGCGATATTCGACGTGCTCTATCATGGAGATATGCTTCATACGGTCGAAGTGATATGCTAATATTATGCGGCGCTTTCATAACGCGTGTGGGACGCGAGCGTGTTTTACTTTCATGAAGTACTTGGTTTGGTTAATATTTTCGGACAGGAAACTTTTTCTTAACGGTCAACCAGGCACGATAACCCAATAATTCCGGAATCGATTGTTACCGATGTATAATCAGCTTTTAAAACATCCTTCTTTAAGACAGCGCGACGAACGTCTCAGGTCGACTTTGGCATGTCGCTTTGTGCAAAGTCGCTGAAAAGTTCGGGCTGTTAAACTTTTAATCGGTAATCCGGCGGGAAGTCTCTCGCACACAGGTCGGAATGCAGCAGCAAGTTTAGCCCTTTAACTTCCGAACTTCTTCTCGCCATTTAAGTAACCGACTCGACGTAAATACCACCCTCCTCGAATTCGCTCATCGACGCAGTTCGCGCAGCAAGTTTAGAGAAATATTGTTTAATTCCTATGATAAAAGCGCTCGCAATAGTTTGCCTCAGTCTGCACTATTTATTTTTAATTCCTTTGTGAATTCTATATTTATTTTACGAGTTTCCCCTTTTCTGTGGTCTCTCTCTCTCTCTCTCTCTCTCTCTCTCTCTCTCTCTCCTTCATTTCTTGTGCTATCGAAATACTACGTTATTTTGCCTCTAATATAGAATCTCGATACGAGAACTCTGAATTTCGGGTTACGGGAAACTAGTTAACGTCACGTAACCAATACGTAGTTGGCTGGCTAGGCATTTACAAACCCAGTGCTGCTGCAGGCTAAATACATCATGCTTCGATGGCTAATGTACATCGAATGCACATCGATGGTTTCAAATCATTGACTTGTTGATTGTTAGCTTTACCAATGTTGCTCTCTTGATGTCTGTTAAAATGTAACGTATAGCATCGTCGAGATTAATATTAAAATTCTAAATATACATTTAATTTAATTGTACAGGTAAATGCTGCATTCGCTTCTGTAAAGCAGAATTTCGAATGATCGAAAATAATCATATGAGAGTAACGTTGAACGTGATCGTGCAAATCCTGAAAACGTCGATTCACTCTCTTGAATAATCGTGCGCTAATAATTATGGGACATTAATAATTGCTTGTACCGTCAAGCCGTGTTGCTGGCTTAATGCTTCGTTTAACTTATTTCGATCAAACATTACACGCATGATTTATTAACAAACGTTAAATCAATTGCGTTACAAAGGTATAATTTCGAAATAATGTACCTGATTGAAAATCCGAAAAATACAGGATTCACGCTATGGTACATTATATTCGTCGATTTATAGTACCTAACCAAGCTTTCGGCGCGAATTAATACAAACGTAAAGCAGATTATCGTTGTTATCCCTGGTTTGCAATAAAATTGCATTTTCCACGCGCCCCGTTGCAAATGTAATCGTTAATCGCGAGCGACAAGCGCCGCGAGTCAATTCAGGCGTGAAAAATTTATTTCTTCTAAAGTGGGTCGAGCGAAATCGGCGAGATACAAATTATGATCGACTGTTCTTACCGACGATCGCGCGATACACGACGTGTACCATGGCGTTTGTTGCGCCGAATAAATAACGTAGCAATATTTACCGGGCTTTTCGATATTGACACAATATATAATATTAAAACGAATTTCAATTTACGTTTCTGACGTCTCGCGACAGTTTTAATCATGGTGTGTAATACTTGTTTTCCCGATTACCTTTCGCATCAACGACCGTTTATTTTCGAGGGAATCTAATATACTCCCAGTGATGGTTTCTATTTCATTGAACGTGCGGATGGAACTACTTCCTTTCCACTACTGTCCGTGGAACTTCGTATCTCTTGTCGAGTATCCAATGCACGACGGAGACTATTTCAAGAAATAAAACGTCAGAGAATTAAGTCCCCGGGAACTTTTGTATAAACACCAAACATCTCTTATGATACTATGTAAAGTTTAAGTTGAGAGATACGCAGAGAAAAGCCTCCACTTTCTTCTTATATTTTCTTCGGTAGAAATACGTCCAGTGTGTATATGATTTCTGAAAAATAATACATAAATATGTAATATCAAAAATATTTAATGAAAAAGGGTACCGATGAGTGATTGTTTAATTTCAAAGTTGATCGAGTGCGACTATTCGTTCGTTCTTCTACAAGTATTGATCGCAAAAGATATATTTCAGAGAAAAGAAAGCAAAACGAAAAAGGAAATCACGCGGTGACGTTTTATTTCTCGGTAACTTATTATTCGGTCAGACTTCGTCGCCAGATCTCGTGGAAATCCACCGATGTGTTATTTTGCGAATAAATAGAACGCCGTCGCGACGGATATCGCGATACGTGCTATCGCTCAACGTAATAGGTTCATCACTTTGCATAGGAGAGAAGATGCGTGAAAAATATATTTGTCCCGGACTCGCGTAGCCCCGAGGTAACATTTGTCGTTGCTGCAGTACGTAGTACGCAGACAGAAGCTACTTCGGAAAGTTCAGTAGTCCCATCGCAGTCCCGCAGCCTTTTTTTACCGCGCCGACGAAACTACTGCTTGTTATGTTTCTCCCGTGTTTTCCGTATATCCGGGGCATCATAACTTCCGCAAATAGTCCGCAAGTCCGTACTCTCATGATTTCGCGCGACGTTGGAGTAGTTACAATGTAAATGTGAT